CTTGAATTGAGCTCTTTATCTTTTCTAATATACCATATTTTATTAACCAGCTAATTAGCAGAAACTTACGAATGGTTTACCGAGCTACATTAACAATAGCAGCTACTATGATATAACAAAGTGAATTAAAAGTGAGCTAGCAGTGTTACGCTCTTATAAATACTCATTTAGGCCAAGGGATGAACCAAACAATAACAAAGGAGTGGCACTTACCTAAACTTGGCTCTCAGAACTTCCTACAAGCTGGAAGCTTCACACCCAGGTGTACTATATTGTTGTAGTCCTGGCAAAAAGTACTAATGCAGTAGTATCTAAGACACCAGACCTTCAGCTTCTGGGAAGGGATGCAGTCTTGTACTTGAGCAAAGGATGGAAAGTTTGAAATAATAATATGTTGATGCCGTGGGCATTGGCTTGTCATGAGCCTTGTCAGCAGGAGCTTTGAGGTCACTTATGGAGGCCTGCCTCTTCACCTCCTTGACTGTGCTGACTTCTTTTGAGGTCTAATATTGTAGAGGTTTGGGTCTGTCTCATCCCTTAAACTTGGTTGTAGATTCCCCCTGTCTTTGCCTTATCCCCCACCTCCCACCCCAGTACTGTCTGACCCTGCCTTTCTCTCACTGTGCTTCTCGGCTCTCCTTCACCATGACTTAGCGTTTCTTTTCCATCTCAAACCCAAGTTGCTCCAGCTCCACCACAAAGTGATAATAGTATATTAATGACTTCTTGAAACACCAAGCAACTAAGTCCATAAAAGTAACATTTTACATCACTGTCTTCTATAATGGTCATTCTGTGTAACTGTTTTCATTCTACTTTTCTAACAGTGGGACATGATTATCCCAGCTGGAGAGTAAGGCTCCGTTGTTTTTCGGCACAAATCAAGGTTCTTACAACTCCAATACCATCCTTTCTCAGATTTTATGAATAGCTTCAACAGTCCATAGGAGAACATACAGTCCTGTCGGAGGAATATGTGCATGAAGTTTGCATTTGATATTAACATAAATGGACATGCGTAGGAGGCCTGTATGCTTAAAATATGAGGAAGAAATAAACTGCTATGGTCATCTCTGCTCCTTGCCCCAAAAGAAAACTACAATGTAGCCTGTGTATATAAATGTATTGGAAACTTGGAGACAATGGAAAAAATACAGGTTTCAGTTCAAAACGTGATATCTGTGCTAGTTAAATATTTGTCAGGAGTCAACTTCACTTGTTCCATTAAAAAAGTGTATAATTAGCAAATACAAAGAGCATGTAGGTATGCTTCTCAACACTTAAGTGTTTATTTACATTATGAAATAAGTGTACATAGCAAAGCTCTAGCACTATACTTAGTTCTCGCTAAGAGTACTGATTTTCTTTTTTTTAGCATGGCACAATTAAAAAACAGGGAAAATGATAGAAAAGAAAAGTAGTGGTGCTGTTTTCTCTAAATGGAAAAGAAAGAGAAGAAAGAAATATTTCAGGGTCTCAGAAGAGGTGTGTAAATTTTGCTGTGAGGGAGACTTTGGATGCCAGGACACCCTAGAACATTCTAGAAAAGAAATATCATTGGTTTTTATTAAACTGAAGAATAACCTAACAGAAGAAATTGAGAAATGAAGTGCCCTCATTTGAGGTGGATCACTGACAAAACCATAAGCATGCTCTAAAGATTTTCTTGTCTGTACTAAATTTTCTTTAGCAGAAAAAAAAAGGAGTGGGTTGGTTGTTTTCTCCATTGCAGACTTTGAGGTAGGAAAGAAACTACAGTTGTAGAGGAGAGTGGGGAAGTAATACATTTTGGGAGGAAGAGTCCAGGCTGCTGGTTAGTTTGGATATTTCTCACCTCTAAAATGAACTTAGCTATTTTAATTAAAAGTATTTCTGTTTTTAATAAGAACCATTTTCTTGAGAAAATGTATAATGAAAAAGTTGAAATGAAGCTCTGAAGTTAGTATGAGAATATCCAGTAATAAGATATATATCAGAAGTGTATCTGTTCATGTAAAAAAACCCACTGTTTTGCCTCCTACATATAATTATATTTTGAGCTGGGCTGTGAGGCTTTTTTAATTAATATCTTATCCTTGCAAGAAGGCAGGTTCCCTGTGTTCTGATGCACTCATTAAGACCCAGACTGTTAGAAACCTTTGTTGGTGTAGCGATGGCAATGCATGTTTCATTATTTCTATGTCATTTGCAACCCAAACGCAGATGAGGAACCTATTTAAGTGTTTCTTATGGGATATTTTTCTTCACTTGAGCAATGAGTATAAACTACTGATGTGGTGTGTGTTTTTTGTGTTTGCTTGTTTAATATTCCCCATCTTTTTTTCCTCCCAATTCTGTCTTTTTCCATGTCCCTATGAAGCACTTCTTGCATTAAAGGGATTTGCAAGAATAAGCACATTAACTGCCCTCCTGTGACCTACAGGCGACTCTCCTTACAGCAAGAGACAGGCCGAGATTAGTGAGATCTCATCTTCCTTTGCAAAGTTGTCATGTGGTTAATAGATAATTACCAGGGCTCCTGAGGGTCAAATTTTGGGTTTTTTTCTGCAAATTGAAGGAGGAGAATTGTCCTTAGCAAAAGGCAGAAGAATTATAGAAATAAGAAAAATTTCTTTCTGGGGTATTTGTGAGAGGGGCTCTAAAAATTTTGCACTTGGCTAGTAAAGTCTTTAAAGAGAGCTTTGACTGAGCTGGACCACCAGTTTCTAGAGCTGGTATATTGGCTACAAAAGGAGAAGACCCAGCCTCTTCTCAAAGCCAGGAAGAGTGGCTCACCTGAAAAGCCCTGGGAGATGGAGAGCAGGTGTGGGAGGAAGACTTGGCAAAGCGAGGGGCAGCGGTGGGAGGAGAGGAGAAGGATGTGCGTGGAAGCTCCGATGAGAGCTGCAGCTTGCAGTTGTTGTGCGCTAACCCTCCTGTAACATTTGTCAGGGATGAGCTGTTCTGTCTCTGCAGGTGGATTCCTCCTTTTTGTGGCAGTTGACATTTTGCAATATGAAATCTGAGCTGTATTTTAAGTTATGCCTCCACTCTTCGTACTTACGAAAACATACCAAAAATGTGAACAACTGTTTGGAATAGTAAGCTTAAAAGTATGAACAGCTTCATTTCTTCTTTAGATTGTGAATTTAATAAGAAACAGCAAAAGTTTAAAATGTCACATAGACATTTGTATACTTTAAAATGAAGAAATAACTGGTTTTCTTTTTTTTTTGCCTCCCCCATTCAGGTGAATATCATAGTAGACCAAATCCGAGCAATCATGGACAAGAAGTCCAATATTAGGAATGTGTCTGTGATTGCTCATGTTGATCATGGCAAATGGACCTTAACAGACTCCTTGGTGTGTAAAGCGGGCATCATTGCCTCAGCCAGAGCAGAAGAAACGCAATTCACAGACACACAGAAAGATGTATCGCACTCAAATCTACATAAGAATTTGTTTGTATCCATCTCTTTTTTTTCTTTCGTTTTAGTTTGAAGACAGAAAAATGTTCTGCTCAAAGCCTTGCATCTTGTCAGATCTTTTTTAAGTTGACATGTGAATCAGGCTGTGCATTACAGAACAGAAGTTCGTAGTCTTCAGAGGGCAATCTGGGCAATATTGCAGTAGAGCTCTTAAGTGATATCTAGCGACCACTCTTACCTGCTTCTCACTATGGAGAAAGATGGTTTCAGAAAGGTTCTTAGTAGCAACCTTCATTTTTGTTGGATTGCTTACAGACTAATACCCTGTTCCTCCAAGCCACTCCGGTGGGCTGTGTCTCGTTATTATTACCTCTGTCTTTGACGTCTGCAACTGCGAAATTAACAAGTTGTAGAGTGATTTGGAGCATGACTCTACAAGTGTCTGACAGTGATATTATGCTGTGACTGCTGTCTTGAGGTGTTGATTTTCAGTAAGAATAAAACTTAATTACACACAAAGCAGAATTTTAGATCCTAAGAACTTTAGAAATTGAAATATTGAAGTCTTCCTGTATTTTTTCCTTTAAGTACATCCAGAAATACTGGCACTGTAATAGAGCAGGTATAGTTGCCTGACCAATGCAGATTTTAAAATGAGCAAATTACGAAACGTTATTAAATCATTAAAATGAATTTTTTTCTCTTACAGGGCAATTTCCAGGTATTATGAACTCTCAGACAACGACTTGGCCTTCATCAAACAGTGTAGGGATGGTTCAGGTTTTTCTTATTAACTTAATTGACTCCCCTGGACATGTTGATTTGTCCGCTGAAGTTACAGCAGCTCTCCGTGTCAGTGATGGTGCCCTTGTTGTGGTTGACTGTGTTTCAGGTAAGCATGCTCTCCTAATTAGAAAGATCTCAGTGTGTTTTATTTTCTTCCTCTTAAGAAAAAAAAAGTCATGACTGATGGAGGAAGCTTCTTTCTCTGAAAGTTTAACTTCCAACGGTATGAATTCTGATTTGCAGTCTTAGCCCATGGCCTTTCCTGTATCTTAGAGGATTATATCCACTTTGTATCCAACTTGTGGGTTGAATGTAGAGTAACTGAGGAAATAAAGTCAACTTTCAGTAAAATCCTAGGGAGTGGAGCTGCCTGTCATTCTTCTCCTCCTTCAGTTAGAAAATGAAGCGATACCTGCAACTGAGTAATGATGGTTTCAAGGAGCATCAAGACTACCACCAGATTCCCAGTTTGACTTTCCCAGTTACCACTGTACACAGTAGATTAGAGATCTTGCCCATATATACAATGCATGTTTTAGTTGTGCTTATGTTTTTTAAGGGGTTTGTGTACAGACAGAGACTTTTCTGCATCAGGCCATTGCGGAACGTATCAAACCAGTACTGATGATTAACACAATGGATTGTGCTTTGGTGGAATTGCAGCTGGAGCCTGAGGAACATTTCCACCTACAGAGAGGGTGAAACTGGACCAATGGGTAATATTATGGTAAAGAAAACTTTAAAACTTTGCAGTGTTTGAAATTCTATTTTGGAGAATACCAGCCTTGATATGAAACAATCATCGCATACATTTATGGCAGTTCAGATCTCTGGCCAACCTGAAGGAACTGTTCTTCAGTCCCCTTCTACCCCCACTGTTTCATACTTTTGGGAATATTATTTCAGACCAGCCAACTGGGGAGCAAAAGCAACTAGGAGAGAATTCACAAAGCAGATCATCCTCTAATGATACTTTTTCACTAACAAAATGTGTAACCTCAAGCTAGTTGCTCAGTGTCTTTCAGACATCAAATGTCAGACATTTGCCTGGGGCAAACTGCTGAAGGGAAGCTATGGTTTGAAATTTAAGGCAAAGGACCAGAAGCCAGAAGATCAGTTTTCTGTGCCTGACTTTGCTGCTTATGTCACTTACATGACAAGAAACATGGCCTCTCTGCTATTCCTGACTGATATGACATTTAATTTGCTCTTTTCTGATCTGAAGATGTAGGTCTCTGTTATTCTACAAGTTATTGTGTCATAATATCCTGGATGTCTCTGGAAAGATGGTTTGAAACTAGAAAGACAAATAGTATTTCCTATATTGCAACCGAGAATTTTAAAATAAAAAAACAAAGTCAACTGCAAGCCTTCCCTAGTGGGCCAGCTGTTAGAGTAAGGAATTCTCAGAATCAGGCTGTGTCAGACATTATTTTTTCCACCAAATAGCTACAAGACAGACCTTCTCACCAGAGTTTTCAGACCTGGTTCCTTTTGTTTAAATGTGGTCATCCTGTACTAGTTTGTTTTATGGCTAAAATTGACTGCAGCTTAATCTATTTATTGCAACAAAGGACTCTCGACTCGGATTGTATTCTGATTCTTATATTCCATGAATCTCAGCCATTCTTAAGTCAGATGAGTTTTCATCTGTGTGGTAGGAATGAGCCACCTATATTTCAATTCCCAGAGAAAGTTCACTAACAATTCAGTTAATATTCTTTACAAAGTCATAATCCTCCAAATCCTACTTAGCACTTTACAAATGTATTTCTAAAGTTTTTATTTTAGTCTTTGTTATAAATACTTCCACTGTGTGGGACAAAGTAAGGTTCTTGCTTCAAAGTAATATTCAATAGACCCATTTTAGGGGAAATATTTCCTTGTTCTGTGTTTCAGAAAACATTTGACATCTTTACTGATCCTACCGGTCGTTGAAAGCAATTCATAGATTTCAAATCAGTGTTTTGTGAAATGCATTCACTTTTTTCCCCCCTTTTAAAGATCAATCCAGTTATCGGTCCTATTGGGTTTGGCTCTGGTTTGCATGGCTGGGCATTTACACTGAAGCTGTTTGCGAAGATGTACGTAACCAAATTTGCTGCCAAAGGTGAAAACGCACAACTCCCTGCAGTTGAGCGTTCAAAGAAAGTGGAAGATGTGATGAAAAAACTCTGGGGTGATCAGTAAGTAACACAGTACGCACGGAATAAATGTAGATACATGCTTAGATACCACAGTGACACTCTAAGGATGATGCATACCAGTGCATGTTGAGTTTGTGCTTTTGTAAAACTAAGCTTTCATAGGCAGCTTAGAAAGCTAGTTAGAGGCATGAGTTTGTAACTCTTAGAACAAAAATATTTATGTATCTGAGAAAGGCAGTTGCTCGTAGTGCAGATATGCTGTATGTACCTTCTAGGGTGAGTTCTAATAACCTGCTGCATAAGAGCAGAGAGAGAAGATTCACTCTCAGAACTTCAGAACATAAATGCTTTTATTGAACTGCATAGGTAAAATTAATACACAACACAAGATTATGGGCCAAATCCAGTCTTATATACCAATCCAGTCTTAAATACCAATGAGTATTTCTGTGAATTTAATGAACCTTAAATTGTATCTCATAAACAATGGAGTTAATTTCCTTTTAGATGAGTACACAACTTGCTGTTAACCAAATGCTTTATATATGTGTGAAAGCTCAATACATTTGCTTGTCTTATGATGCCTTATAATAAATTAACTTACCTTGACTCATTTAGCTCATAGGGTACTCCAAGATTTATCTTGTATGGTACTTAAATGGTTTTAGCAAGGCTTCAAAAGGCAGTTGTAGATAACAGGGTGGAGTAAGAATTCTTGGCAACGGGTTTGCTTACAGTGCCTCATTCCCTGTAAAAGCCTAAAAATGAACGTTGAAGTCAGTGTTTTTAAGTGTAGTAAAAAACCTCCAAAACCTGAACAAACAAAAAGCCATCCTTTGCCTCCCCAAA